ATCGGAATTTAACATAAGTAAAATGCGATATATATACAAAATTATTCAAAACTTCTTTTATTAAATAACTAAACAAAAAGGTTATCGAAACATACCTTTGAGAAAACGAGATCTTCACGGCAAAAATCGCAATATATTTCAACAGCTTTTAATCGAACGGTGCGTTGAGAATAAATAGCTTGAATAATAATGAGCCGCACTGATTTGCGCGTTGCATTTCGGGAAGACCCTCATTCCTCCTCTGGATGAGGCCCATAAGGCCGAAACGGTACCGTCTGTAGTTATATATATATATATATATATATATATATATATATCTATATATCTATATATATATATATGTATATATATATATATATATATATATATATATATATATATATATATATATATATATATATATATATATATATATATATATATATATATATATATATATATATACATGTATATATATATATATATATATATATATATATATATATATATATTAATATCTATATTAAGTTATTATAAGAGTAACTTTCTTTAAATGTATAGAGCTCGTCGCTGCTGGTATGGTGTTGATGAGGTGATATTACCTCAGATTACTGACCTACCCATTGATGAGTATCATATTTGTGAACAGTTTGTCCATTATCATAAAGAAAGTTGTAAAGAGGCATTATCTCCGGACGAAATACGTGAGAGGTAGGTTTCAGGTCCATCGCAGTTCGTTGCTACCTCTAATTTATTACAGTTTTCCTACTGTATATATATATAGCCATGCATAGCGAGCAGCGCGACTGCGAAGAATTGATTTTAGTAGGAAGTAAAATATGATCAAAATCTTTCCAACGCTTTTTTGTACTTCATTGGATGTATTCGTCGTATAGATGGTGATAATTAATGTCAATTTCATTCCAGCAGATAATTTTTACTTATCCAAAAATGAAACGCATTTTTATCGTCTCAAAGAACGTTTGATTTTATAATGAAACACCATTTTCAGATTTTTATCTTTTTGGCTCGTTTTTTCGTTATTTTAGGTTCTTACATGCAAATTACCTTTATGCTAGAATTACGTCACAGGTGCATAATGACTTAAAATTAAAAGCGGTTTACATTGATCCTAATAAAATGAAAATGCTTCGTAAACAGGAATGTGTGTCGACTTTGTTTCAAACACGAAACGTGAGTGGTTTTCAGTGGTTTGGGTGATTATAGTCTAAGTAAGCATGTTCTACTCTCTGTGGTCAGTCATACATGGGTGACGCATGATAATTTAATTTACACATTAAATAATATACTGGCTCGAACGGTCTGTGCCAGTTTGTTGGTAGTGCCGATAATGAGAGAACTGCGGATTGATAGGGATGAAACTACCTGACAAAATACAAGAAAACTTGTCGTGGTGCGTGGACAGCAACCATATCAGTCCGGAGTTTTGTATATATCAAACGTATATACTGCCATCTCTCAAAAACACGCAGCAAAAGAACAACAATTTGAAAAAAGAAGTTACTCTATAGTTTTCAATGTTCATACTAATGACACAATACAAATTTTGGCATTTGACGCAATTTACGCGGCTGTGAATGACAGTATTCAAAGCGGCTACGGAAAGTATTTACTTAGATTCTGATCGAGTTTTCTAAAAACTATTCGTATACCCTTCTGAATGCGCTCTAAAAACCTATGCTACATAACAATGTTAATTAGGCCTACCATTAAAATAAACCGCCGAGTGCAATCCGTATTTCTTGCGAAACTTTCCGCTGTTATGGGCGTGGAGATTTATAGCCATATGGTAATACACTGATTTTTCTATTTTTTTAGTTCATTGGACAGTAGTTACAGTATTAACGATTGTTCAACCAGTTTCCGTGGAAGCGAACTAGTTGATTGGTTATTGGAAGTAGGACTTGTAGCTGACCGTATTACCGCTGTACATTATGGGAACAGTTTATTAAGGGGTCGAGTCATTCGTCATTCTCAAAACCGTTACTATTTCAGAGATTCAAATCGGACATACGAGTTTTGTCCTGGTTGGAATAGTAAAGTGGTTCAAGAAAGATGTTGAACCACTTTATTCTCTTTAAACCACTGATTTACTGTAGGCTAGCGCTGTTCTGGTATAACACCATTACTGTGCGAACATGATTAATATGGTCAATGCATTATTTATAGAGACTCCATTCTACTCATTAGGGAAGTTCGCGCATTGGGGAGGACGGGCCCTTTGCATGAAATCTGATTGTATTAAGTTATTTTCCTGTATTTGCTTTCGTACATATTTAGTACAGTTTTAGATGGTTTACAGGATTTCACCAGGGCAGAACATTTTTAATCAATTCTGTTCGATAAAAACTACTTGCATGCTCTACGGTTCGCAATGCTAGTATTTTATAGTGATTTGAGTAACTATTTAGAGATTTCCGCCGCGCTTTTACAATTAGAGCATAGATATCTTATATACACTAGATAGTGCATCTAATTATTCTGCAATTCAAAAATTGAAGCCGTGATTACAGATTCAGCTAGGATATTCCCATGAAATGAGAAGACTGGTATGTTTACTATTTCTTTAACAGGGAACTTAAACATTAAGTTAAACCTATTCCAAATACATTTTCAAACTATGCAAATGATGAAAGTTATTGTTGTTCTTTAAGCGTTTATTAGCGAGTGGGAAACTCCGACATCGCCGCCATCTATTCAAATGGGAGTAACCGCTGGAATATTCGTGGCTTCAATTTTACTAAAAGAGATGCACTATCTAGTGTATATAAGATATCTATGAATTAGAGAGTTGAGCAAATACAACGGCAACGAGAACGTGATCATCAACAATAGCATCTTTACTCCAAGACAAAGGCGACTAGTATAATTTGCATTCCTTATAAGCATTCTAGTACGTCGTAGTTGTTCAAACTGCTACGTTATTTACATCACTTTCACGGCTCATGACCACGCCAAAAGAGTAAAACTTTCAAGTCCTTTGTTGTGTTTTATGTGAATTCACTTACTATTGCTTCTTCAGGGTTGTTTAAAAGAAAGATAAGTGCTTTTAAAAGTTTAGGGATGTGTGTTTCGCTCAAATACAAAAACATAAGTACTTTTTATTTTCTGTCGTCGTCATTGTTGATTGCCAAACTCACTAATATGAGCGTTAAAACGCTGCCAATCAAAACGCTGCGACGATAATTCCCCACATGTGAGAAAAATCAAAAAATCACCAAAAACGGTGAAACGCTAAATTTCACTTGTGATAAATATCGTCTATATACGATTTTTATTTCACCAAACCACTGCCCCGGCTTAAGCTAAATCGCCGAAGTGAGAGTTTTTATTGAATTTCCGCTAATAAAACTCTCAAGGCTATAGAAATTAACTTCAAATATTTCCTCTTTATCTATTTAAATATTTAAGCTTTAATCGTATTTTGAGTTTATGGATTATTATTACTAAACTCTATTTAAACACGGTACTATTTCACAAGCTACATACATGTATAAAAATATGTAAAATAAAAATAATGTGATCTTCCAATAGGCCGTGTGTTTAACTATGTTATAACACTATCTCCAGCATACATATATAGACTATTCAACTAATACATATTACTTACAAATGTAACAATATTAAAAATGTACTCTCAATTGATGTCTTGAGTTTTGATTAAAAAATATTAACACTTTCTGATTTTTTTATTCACTTGGTAGATTATTCCAGGCCACTGCACCTCTATGGCTAATTGACTTTTTCAGGTAGTATTGTTTTAGGCTTCGGTGGTAGGAAATCATGTTTAGCTTGTCTCGTTTGGTGTTCATGGACCTCGTTCGTTTTTTGAAACATATTAGTTAAGGAAGAAGGGAACATTTCCTGTCTAACTATGTACATTAATGTATTTATTTGTTGATTTCTTCTTTCCTCGAGGTTAGGCAGACCGAGTTGGTTTAGTAAATTTACAGATCGAACTTCGTACCCACTCTTTGTACTAGATAAAAAATGAGCAGCCGATCTGTATCTGATATACAAACTCGAACCGAAGGCGAGAGTTTGCATATCAGATACACATCGGATGCGAATGCATGTTTACTTCTTTAGCCATCCAGGCATTCTGCTGGAAACACACATCAACCCCCTTGAGTCTTGTCATATTTTTCTTTCTCCTTAGTAGTGACACGCCCTTTTATAAAGTTGTAGGGCAGCCCATCGGCCCTTATTCAAAGTTGTAGGGTAGCCTGTCTTTTATCTAAACCAGATGATAGTAGCTCAGCCATCATCTGCACCAACTTTTTCTTGTTGGGTTTTCTCCTAAGCACTATATTGTGCCTTTTCTTAAATCTCGTAAACCACAATCGAATCAAATACGATTAATCTTTCAATTTCAAGCGAAAGAGGTTCACAAACGTCAATACTTTTTCCGCCCAAACAGTATATCCCACTGCATATTTACTGTAACACCTTGCTTGTTACATTGACCTGGACACTGTCTGTCTTTACTGGACAGCGATTTTCTTGAAAATTACCCAAAAGGCACTTCGAGTGAGGATTAGTCCTAGTCCGTGAACTCTAAAAGAACTGGAACGATAACTTGGCCGCCATCTTTGAAGCCACTCATGATGCATGGCCGCCATGTAGGTATGGAGTGGGAAATACGCCACCTAAAAGATGTCTGTTTTCGACCATTAAATAGCTGTATTTCAACAAGGAAAAAAGCTAAAAACATTCAACAGTACCTCAAATTTAATACATGATTCCAGAACGTAGAGCAGTTTTAAAATTCTTTTTTCAGGAATCAAAGTGCAAAGTTTTTTTCGGCACGTTCAAACTTGTGGTAATATTTTGAATATCAAGCTGTTACCCAGGAAGTTTTTGCTGTTAGTGAATGTAAAATATTTAGAACTATCCAGGAAACCAGGTTTGAATCTTTAAAGTTGAAGACTTTTGATAAAAAAGCAATTTTTCTTGCTGATTATCGCTCAAAAACAAACTTTTGACTGAATTTCCTGCTCCTCGAAACTCTCCCCAGTTCTTTTGAAAGTTAATTTTTGCTCGCCGAGCAGCGCGAGAAGGGTCATCTTGGCTTCAGGCAAGTATGGGCATGTTTATCTGCAGTTAGCGTTCCAGTATTATTACAGTTTACTGGTCATAGTGAACTTCCATCTTGGATTTTTCTGGAGAAATTTTCTTAAAAATATCTGATAAAATTTTTTTTGGACAAATAATAGCCTGCGTAGCAGGCGGTAGAAGCTAGAAATACCGCCTGCCCAAAAACTACACATTTTGAGTTCCGCCCACCGCATGGTCCCGCCCATCTTACAGTAATGTATTTATTAGTTAATTATTTGTCAAACTCACGTATTTACACCAGTGCAAATATACGACTTTGACGTTTCATATCTTCGGTTCATTCAATGCTATGAAGACAAAAATACCACGTTCGATTCAGTGTAACAATATGTCCTCATTCATAGCGATAGTTTTAGTCGATGCACAGGCGGCCCAATCTCGCAAGGGTCAGTATAGACTTATAGTATAAATGTATATTATATATTATATTAATGTATATTATAGTAAAAATATGTCGTAAAATATAAATTTTAAAATGAAATTGACTTGCCTATTTGATAGTGTGTGTTCTCCTTTTATTCCTCCTTTGTTGGACTAATATTTTCCGAGACTTTGTACTCGATGTTACTAGTATACATGAAACATGATAAAGGCTAACGATTCCCGATCGTCGATACGACGGCACAGCACTTCGAATCGAAAATTTTCTCACTCAAATCGCTTTATTCTCCAAACAAATTCGCCAGCATGTACAACAAATGCCGTTCTTCGAAAATATAGAGGTACTTCGGCGAGATGTACAAGTTTTGGACCATATTTTAACAATGGAAATCAAAACCCATTTTATATTGAACTTACCCGGACCGAAAATTACTACGGCGAACGTCTGCGCAACCAGGCCTCCTTTACCGTTGGATTTACAGGGGGGAAGCAGATATTTCCGGTAACAGCCAGCCAATCGCGGCCGCGATAGCGACTGTTTACATTATTTGAAATTTGATATTCAAAATAAAAACTCCTTCGATCGGATACTGTATAAAACTCGAGATGTTGTCGAAAAAAGAAAACTAAACGACGGAGATTGGAGAAATTTAAGGAAGAAGTAATATACAGCGGCTCTTTGTTGGAAAGCATGGTAGAATATGATACTTTAATTCGAAATATTATCGTGAATATATTAGTGGCATTCCTCCCCCCTGTAAATCCAACGGTAAAGGAGGCCTGGTTGCGCAGACGTTCGCCGTAGTAATTTTCGGTCCGGGTAAGTTCAATATAAAATGGGTTTTGATTTCCATTGTTAAAATATGGTCCAAAACTTGTACATCTCGCCGAAGTACCTCTGTATTTTCGAAGAACGGCATTTGTTGTACATGCTGGCGAATTTTTTTTTAGAATAAAGCGATTTGAGTGTGAGAATTTTCGATTCGAAGTGCCGTACCGTCGTATCGACGATCGGGAATCGTTAGCCTTTATCATGTTTCATGTATACTAGTAACATCGAGTACAAAGTCTCGGAAAATATTAGTCCAACAAAGGAGGAATAAAAGAAGAACACACACTATCAAATAGGCAAGTCAATTTCATTTTAAAATTTATATTTTACGACATATTTTTACTATAATATACATTAATATAATATAATATACATTAATTGTACTATAAGTCTATACTGACACTTGCGAGATTGGGCCGCCTGTGGTCGATGTCAACATTATAGCCATTTATGAGCTTTGAAAGTCAAGCGAGTTCGTGTATTATCAAATTACGCAATTGTCTGAACAAAAATATAGACTAGCCATACCTTTCGCCGAACACAACTCCGGCCCCTTCAGACGTAACTTTGTAATATGCTTGTTCCAATCGCTATCAAAAACACGACTTAGAGTGTCATTTACGAGCCTGTATCTTCAAATCTGCACTTTTATCACGGTATCACATCTTCAAGCAACAAATGTTGGATTGATATTCGTTGTTCATTCTTCAAGACGAAGCGATTTCCGATTCCAGATAAAGATTAAAGAATTCAACGCTTAATTCTCAATTAATACATTCGTTATCTTTTGGTTAGTGTATGCCATCACTCGATATATTACGGAAGCCCGGAAGGGCCATACGAATATTGCTTTCAACTTTCTGAATCGCGCTTAATAATTTGTTTGAATCGCGATTAACTTTCGAACGTTGCTAACTTACCAGACTGCAGAGTACGGCAAGTGCACACCCGAGATTTTTTTTGGCCAATGGTATTGCACACTTAAACATATTTCAAATATTTTCCAGTTTTGTCAGGCATTAAAATAAGGACTTCTAAGACAAGTGTAATATAACAACCATGCACCTGAAAATCGGGAACGCTGATTCATGGGCACAAATGAAAAATGTCCATTAAAGTTTTGAATTTCTACAGCAGAATTTTGCGATCATCAGGTTGTTATGATTAAACAAAACCGTATAGCATGTAAGCATGGGCACAAGAGAACTTTTAATTGGTCCGATTTCCTCGAGGCGCCACCATGGTTGGCGCCGAGCGGAAAATTTTTGAAATTTGGAGTCCCTACATTGTCGGAAATGGCATTTTCGAGTGCACACTTTTCCATTTACAACTCAATTACAAGGACATGCACATTTTCCTTTTACAGGACACAAAGTGTATCAAAAACGCGCTATTTTGTACGTGTTCATAATGACTTTTAACTCCGATCGAAATATATATTCTTGTTTGTTCGTCAGAATTTGGACCACGTTTTGTTTTCCTGAGAGGCAGAAATTTCAGTTATTTGTACAAATAAACAATCATTGTTTAATATCATTAGAACATGTAGCTATTTACAAGTGCACACTTGACTACGTTAACTGAGGATTGCACACTTGCACACCTGAATTTTTGTCTTGCACACCCGAGATCTCGTCGAAAACTGCCATACTCTGCAGTCTGGCCTGCGTGCCAGTGAGTGCCACGGGCCCACGGCCTACGAGGAGTTTAACGGGCAGCATTTCGCTACCTTTTGGTATCCTAGTTTTACACTATTCTTAATCCTGAGGATGACTACAAACTAGTCGAAAGACTCGAAACGTCGATTAAAAATCAAAATGTTATTCGGAGTTACTGTTATTTTGTATTAGCTATTAAAAGTAACTTCATTTGCGTCAAATTACATAAAACTATTTTCTTCTGAAAAAATTCACGCTAGATAAGATAATCAAAACATCGCTACATGCAACCTTGTACTCGTGGGTATTCAACAATATGATTTTGTCTATCTAAATAAAAGCTACCAAAACTATAGGAGACTCTGGAAATGCCATTTCCAACGATCTATCTAGAGACTCCATATTTTCAAAAAATTTCGCTTGGCGCCAACCATGTGGGCCGCCGAAAGCAAAATCTACGGATGCTTTTTTCTCATAGTTGGCAACTACGGGTATGGCTAATCTATAAGTGAATTCAGAAAACTAAGTAATTCGATAATATTCGTATATTATCAAATTACTTAGTTTTCTGAATGCAATTATAGATTAGCCATCTTGCTTGACTTTCAAAGCCCGCCCGACAAAGGTCAAAGGCTATAAATTGCTATAATGTTGACATTGACTAAAACTATCGTAAGAAATTTTTTGGAGATATTGTTTCACTGAATCGAATGGTGGTATTTTTTTAAATTTTGGCTTCATAGCATGCACTGAACAGAAGATATGAACCTGCAAAGTCATCATCCTCTCGCATGATGAAAATAAAATATATATATATATATTTTTTGACAATTCAAATCATTCGATCACAATTTGATAAACAAAGAAAAATGTCGCAAACTAAAAATTGTCGCGAAAATAAATGTCGCGATTGGCATTCGCAACAATAGACCTTTATAAAAAGGTTGACGTCATCGGGCTTGTGACGTAGTTTGCGGAGAAAATCCCGAAAGCTCAGAGTTGTTTACTTGTTTTGAGTTCTTTTAAAAACAGAAGAAGCCAGTATTATGGTAAGTTTGAAGTAAATTTTTCTATATATAGGCCAAATGAGTTTTCATATTCGTCGCAGTTTAAATTTTATTTGATTGTTATATATTAGATATATTATATTTTATACATTTAGCAAATTGTTCGCTCGGTTTTCTTTTCTGTTTCTCAAATTCATCAGTGTAAACAGCTCCGCTTTCGTTTCTGAAGATTTAATAAACTTTAAATCTCTACACTTCAGCCGAAATTTTAAGTTATTTTTGGTAGCTTTTTCAATATCCTTGCCAATTTTTGACCCAGGTATGTCCTTTTCTGTCAACTACATCGATAAAAATAATAGACTGATAAGTCTTATTAAATACGAGCATTGTGTACAAGATGTACTCAGACTCTAAGTTCACTTATGTACCTCTTTGCATGATCACTGAGCCTGTGTATTGCTGTCTACAGCTTGATTGGGGCCATTCTGATAATTAAACTGATGAATTTGAGAAACAAAAAAGAAAATTTATACTTTTTAGCAACGAAATATGTAAACAAACCGAGCGAACAATTTGCATGACATGAAATGTTCATGACAGTAAAATAATGTACAATCTGATATAAAAACAAATAAAATTTAAACTCTAACGAATATGAAAACTCATTTGGCTTATATATAGAAAAATTTACTTAAAACGTACCATAATACTAGTTTCTTTTGGCTTTAAAAAAGCTCAAAACACGTACTAAATGAGCTTTCGGGATTTCCTCCGCAAACTACGTCACAAGCCTGCTGACGTCAACCTTTTTATAAAGGTCTATTCCGCTGTCATTCCGCAAGGGCCAAGGCCATTCCGCCTTTTACATGCATCGTTGAAAAAATATCGATACCTTGTTTCAAATTGTGAGTATCGAAAGTATTGATATTTTAGCACAAAGTATCCCCCACCACTATGGATTAGCATGCATGGAATATGGAATTGCCACTCTAAAACCTTAGTGCATGTGACCCCGGTATAAACAACAATATAATTCTCATTTCAACTATTCTTACTTGAAGTATAAACTTACCGACACCATCCAGACCCTCTACAACAATAAATGGATTTGGATAAGCAGCTTTTGTTGGGGAAGTCTTCTTGGAGTATTCTTCGACTAAATGTTTCAATTTCTTAATTTCAGGTAGGGTCAAATGGCAATCCGCGAGATCAAGTATATTTCGTGTCTCGTCAAAACTTTTGAAAATCGAGTGTCCGAAGTTAAACAATGGATGATAGCCAGAATATTTCACTGGTAATATCTCAAATCGATCTATCTCAGGGCTTTGAGATTCACATGAAATAATATCAACCATATACCCCGGCTTGGTTTCTCTTGGAACGAGCTTCAAAATGCAGGGTATTCCAAACGATTTGGCAAAATCAATGATATCTCTTGTATACTGCTGTGTATTTTCATTATCTTCATTGTTGATCTTTACAACAAAACTGCTTTGATAGGATCTCTCTGTTTCCGAATTCATAGCCAACAAGAAACTGCTCCAAATAGAACCACTTTCGTTCCATTTTGCTCTAAGTCCGCTTTCCAAACTTCGATCATTTATCCTAGCTTTAACGATGTCTTCTTGCGGAGGAAACACGTTACAAAGGTTATACAAAATACTATTCACTATTTCTGAACCAGGAATGTTCTCGTCATAAGTAACCAAGTTAATTTTGTCCTTAATTTCAGGCGATGCAAAGTACAATGGCCCTTCATTTACGTTGATTCCGTATAGACAATTTCGCAGCACTATTCGAGAAGACATATTAATTGTTAATGGTAAACGTATATATAGATGAGATATCGAAACCGAAAGTGCTTTAACTGGTTCTAGGAAAAAATTATAAACATGTTTATGCATGCCACAACAAGCACAAACAAATTTATACCGGAAATATTTGCAGCTAATGAACCGAAACTTTGAAATGTTTCTTATTTCGAAAGACTTAATCACGTCTATTAAATTTTAAAATATTTATTGATAGAAAGATGAAGACAAACATATTACTTTTGGTGATATTCTATAAGTTTTACGAGGTTATCTACAGCGGTTGCATATATTTCCTAAGTTTGGTGTCGTATGCATTGAATGGTGACAGGTCTCCCAAGAAGCTTGTAAGCGTTAATACTCCAACGAGCGTCAACTATCATTTTACAAGAAAGTGCAACTACGAATGTGGATTTTGCTTTCATACAGCCAAGACATCATTTGTTCTGCCTATAGACGAGGCAAAGAGAGGACTTCGAATATTGACAGAATCGGGTAAGTGACTAAAACTTGACCGAGAGGTGTAGTTATTTTATATCGAGATTTTTGTTGGCATCTTACTCGGCGATTCAATAATAGTTTAAGGGTCTTGTAGATGAAAACTATCGAGTGGAAACCATAGATATCTTATACATAGACTAGATAGCGCATCTCTTTAAGTAAAATTGAAGCCAAGAATATTCCAGCGGTTACCCCCATTTGAATAGATGGCGGCCATGTTGGAGTTTCCCACTCGTTAATAAACGCTTAAAAACAACAATAACTTTCATCATTTGAATAGTTTGAAAATGTATCTGGAATAGGTTTAACTTAATGTTTAAGTTCCCTGTTTTTAAAAATAGAAAACATACGAGTCTTCTCATTTCATGGGAATATCCTGAGTCTGCAATCACGGCTTCAATTTTTGAATTTCAGAATAATTAGATGCACTATCTAGTGTATATAAGATATCTATGGTGGAAACATACAATTATATACATTTATTAGACCTAACCAGGCCTGCGAAAAATGCAAGCAGGTAACCCTGGCAGTATAATTGAACTTGCGGCGCTGCGATTCCAGACACTCGGACAGGTGTCAAAGCGGATAGTGTCCCCTCGGATAGTGTCACCCCTGGACACTATCCGCTAGCGGATAGTGTCCCCTTTAATTACTTTGCCGCGGATAGTGTCCCCCACGTGAAAGTCAAAAACAAAGGCTCATCTTTCGGAGAGAAAATATATTTATATAAAAATCATTACACTAGATTTTGCAAGCAAAGTATAGAACAAGAATTTGTATAGGTAATCATGCGATGGCGAGTACAATTAGGGATTAATAGTACGAGTGATGTTTGGAAATTTTGCCAAAATTGGGCAAATTTCCAAACATCACGAGTAGTATTAATCCCTAATTGTACGAGCCACATCGCATGATTACTTGTTTATTATTAGTATGACAAAATTGGATACTTCTCAATGTCAACATTATATTCTCTCGCCAAAGCCCAGTCCTGCCAGACTTTGGGAAAATCATTAATTGTACTGCAGTACAATTAATGAAATAATTGTACTCCTCTCAATCAATCAGCATCCAGTAATTTTGTCATGCTAATAATAAAATTATATAAAGATTACAGTATATATGTAATTTTCAACTTCTGCCCATTGAGTATAAAAGTATGGAAAACAATATTGAAGCATTATTTAGTATTCTGTGATTCGGTCCATTTATATAAATTATCCGAATCAAATTTTAATAAATGCAAGTGCTAAGTTGTAAAATCAACTTATAATTATTCGGTTTATATGTACAAAAATGGCGCATCCTAAAACGGCATAATTTAGTGTATGCAATAATTTTTCGTACTATTCTCC